CGTTGAGCCGTCGTAAGTGTGGTGAAGTCCACGCCGCTCGGCAGGCTGATGGCATTCACTGGACCGCGCGAAAGAGCGTCGGCAGCAGCATTATCTGTGCCACTAACATGGCGTATATCTGTCGGGAATTCTGCGATGTACGACATTTGGCGGAGCTCCCGTGCCATGTGCGCACCAGAATCGGAGGTGAGTAGCGTAGGTGAGGCAATGCGTAGGTGAGTGGCTTGTGATCCGTGAGCACAAAAAATTCTTGTCCTTCCACATAATGTCGGAAATGCCGGATAGCCGCGTATATGGCCAGGAGTATATGACCGAAGGTGCTGTACTTTCGTTCGGACGGGCTCAGTTTTCTGGAGAAGAAGGAAATGGGTCGCCACACTCCGCTCACTTTCTGCTGCAACACGGCTCCAATCGCTGCATGGGAGGCGTCCACCATGACGCACTGAGGAACACCCAGCTGCAGGTACGTGAGCATGGTAGCATTTGCGAGAGCTTCCTTTATCATCCGGAATGCTTGTGTGGATTGGTCGTTCCACTGAATGGCAGTTGCCTTAGATCCAGATGCCGCAAGTAGGCTGTGGAGAGGGTGAAGAATGTTAGCGCATTTCGGGATAAACCTACGGTAGAAATTCACGAGTCCCAGGAACTCTCGAAGCTGGCGGAGGTTTTTCGGCTGTGGAAACTGCCGTACTGCTTCCACCTTGTCCTTCTGGGGCTGTACTCCGGCACTTGAAATGCTGTGGCCCAAAAATGATAGTGTCGGTACCCCAAACACGCACTTTGCCGTATTGATAACGATGCCGTTCTCTGTCAGTCGCTGAAGTACGTTGCGCAGATGCCGCTTGTGCTCTTCAGGAGTGCTGCTAGCAATCAGAAGATCATCAAGGTATACCTTAAAAAAAAGTCGAGGCCACGGACAATGCCATCCATAAACCGTTGAAAAGTTTGGCCGGCATTGCGTAAGCCGAAAGGCATGCGTAGGAACTTGAACATTCCGAACGACGTTGTTATTGCGGTCTTGGGGATATCCTCCGGTGCTACGGGTATCTGATGATATGCTTGCACTAGATCTATTTTAGAGAAAATGGTAGCATCATGCAGGAAGGAGGTCATGTCATGAATGTGCGGGACTGGGTAACGGTCTGGCATCGTTACCCGGTTCAGCGCTCGATAGTCCCCGCAAGGGCGCCAATCGCCGTCTGTTGATTTTGGGACCATGTGAAGAGGTGACGCATATGGGCTGGATGAAGGACGTACTATCCTGAGTTCCATCATGTGGGCAAACGCCTGTCGAGCCAACCGCAGCTTCTCGGGTGACAGGCGCCGTGGTCGCGCATAGACCGGTGGGCCTGTGGTTTCGATGTGATGCAGGACACCGTGCTTTACTTCTGGAAATGCCTGTGGCTGTCGTGTCAGCTCTGGGAACTCTTGTAGTATTGCGGTGAAGTACGCTTCTCCAGCCGGACTAAGCAAGGCCGGGCTGATAGGGGGGTGCCAACACGGCGTGCCTTGTACCGCTCCCCGAGAAACAGAATCTTGAAGCCGTTTGTTGCGGACGTCGACCAACAGACCGAAGAACTGGAGAAAATCTGCACCTAGTATGGCGAATTTGACATCAGCAGCTATGAACACCCAGCTAAACATTCTGCCGAAACCGAAGTTCAGCGACAGTGAACGATGGCCATATGTTGTTATCACCGTGTTATTGACAGCTTGCAAGGGCGATGTACTAGGTTTCTTTCTTTCAGCTTGTGACGCCGGTATAACGCTCTCCTCGGCGCCTGTGTCCACTAAGAAACGTACTCCGTTGTTGCGGTCGGTAATAAAAAATACTGAGGGACGACTTGGAGGCAACGTAGTAGCACTGGTCGCCCTCAGTGCCTGCCGCGGCTGTTTCCCGAGTGCGCGACGGTGGGACACATTTACGCGCACTACCGTATTTACTCGATTCTACCGTGCCCTCGATTGTAACGCGCACCTGATTTCCACCACGAAAAAAAAAAAACATAAGACATCGATTGCAACGCGCACCCATTTTTTCTCGCTGGCCCGCATGATCACACCACTCGAAAAAACGACTCCTTTCGGGAGCGTCTTCCATTTAAATATGAGGTACGGGCGAAGCTTGTGCCCATCTGACGTGTAACAGAGCATTGCCGTCACTGTAGTTTTACCGTGGACCGATGTCAGCACGCGAACTTGCTTCGCCCCCTTCTTCTCGACGGTTGTGGTGCCAGGCATGTCGAAGTAAAGAGGCGTCTGATCGGCATTCCCGATTTGCTTAAGCAGGTAGTCGTTGTTGCGCCGCAAGTTTAGGACGAACCCCTGAAAACTGTGAAGCTTTTCATCATACTCCTCCGCAAAACTTTTCGCATATGCATGTTCCCCTTCGGAGGGAAAAGCCTTTCCTCTTCATAAAGTTAGTTAGCCATCACCTGCTCGCTTTAAACTGGCTCCGCATTAGACCTTTTTTTAAGACTAATTGCATAGCCTGCACTTGGAGCAGTTCTGCCGTCACGGGCCGCTGTGCTGTTCGCTGCTAAAGCACATACTCGCCGAGCAGCTCTTTAATTTGCGGAAACCGACCCTGCTGTGGTCCACTAAAGCCTTTGCTGTCGAAAATCTTCTGCTTTTGTTTCCGCCGGTCCCGCATGCACATTTCGGGAACTCCGAACGACCGCAATGCGGCCCGATTTCCGTCCATTTCTGCACACGCGATGACTTTTCTTTTAAAAGCGGCATCGTGGTGCACTCGAGTTTTTGGAGTCGGCCATTCCACGCCGTCGATGCTAATGCACTACTAGATGACGAACTCCTCAGCACACGTACAAAGTGCCGCACATGAGAAACACATAGGCAGAAATAAACGACGCGCCATGCCGACGCACGTAGGGGGCGGCCATTTTAGATTTGCCGATGGCAATAGATTGGCCGTACTTTTTTTGCTCGTACTCGATTCTAACGCGCATGCGATTTATGAACTCGCTTAACCGGAAAAAAGGTGCGCGTTAGATTCGAGTAATTACGGTACTTCCGAACCTCCGATGATACCAGCAGATATGCTCGTGCTGCTCTTGTGATAGCGGCATGTTAGGCTCGGTTATCGTTTGCGCCCTCCTGCTAGCGTGCAAAGCTGATACTGTTTCGGCAAGTCGAGCAATCTCCTCACGCATCTCTTGAAGTTCGTTTAGAGGCTGTTGCGCTTGCACGGCAGCCATGGGTGTGGGCGGTGTCATTGCTACCAGTTTGTCAGCAAGTTCGACGGCTGCGGTTAAATCCTTGTGCTCTGAGGCCGCGATGACCATGCGGACGCCTGAAGGCAACTTTTGCAAATAAAGTTCTCGGAGCAATACTCCATCTATCGTGTTTGATGTTCCGCCGAGCAACTGTTGCATGTGCCGCAAAAGCTGACTAGGAGTACGGTCGCCGAGTTCCGTGCCGTGAAGCAATTGCTGCAGTCGTTGTGGTTCGGAGGGCGTAACTGGGCGAATAAGGGTTTCTTTTAGCGTTGCATATGCGTTTTCGACAGGTGGTGCGAGCAACAGATTCCTGATTTCACTGGCTATGGCGGGCGGCAGACTGCTGACTACGTAGTGGTATTTCGTAAGGTCTGCGGTGATTCGTCTGGCTGCGAACTGAGATTCCACTTGTATGAACCAAAGTGCGGGGTCTGCAGTCCAAAAAAGGGGCAGCTTACCGTCGACTGAGAAGACTGTCGGAGGGGCGTCGGTCGTGGACGTTGAATCCATATTGCGGCTGGTTCGACACTCCGGTCGCTGTGTCTGTATTCCGAGTCCAGGTCACCAATGTTGAGACGCGTCGCTCGGCAGAGCTGCGCAAGTGAACAACTCGCGTCCCAAACAACAACTGACTTTTATTATCACCCTTCCTCTCGAAGATAACTTTCTCGTGCGGGCGCATGCGCTCTCTGCACCGCACACAGAAGCATCGCTTTGCGTCGCCACACTACTCACTGCTATGATTTGTTAATGGGAAGGCGGTGAAGCGAAATATCCAAAGAAGTGTATTTGATGTCAAGTTTTTTCGCAAATGCGCAAATGCCCTACCAAGCACAGCCGATCAATGTCCTTTTGCTTATGGTGGCACCTTTGGTGGACACTTTTGTTCCTATATGAAACTTTCGCGAGAGTTTCATGATTGGTAAAAGGTACGGAAGGACCCTGGTAGTACTCTCTTGTGGGATCAGAGAGAGTGCCTTTCACCTAATTATTTCACAGCACTTTCACCTAATTATTGTTAATTTTTCAAAATAAAAGATCAAACTATAACACCAAAGAAAAAAGAAAATGAGTGTTCCTCCCATTCTCTGGTATCTCAATCGGTGCCTTGATATTAAGCTGTGTTTCATTAAGAATATTCTTCAAGAGATAATTCAAAGCTACTAATGCCAGTTAGCCTGATATACAGCTTTATTTATTGGCACATGAACTTCTATTGGTAGTACACATAGACACAGTAGACTCTGTCGAGCAACAAACACGTGAACTTCCTCACAAAAAGGCGAACTTGCTGGTTAAGTCTAATACATAACTACTAATAGGACAAATAATCTAATACTATGCAAACAGAGCACACAGAAAACATAACGATGCAGCATGTACAATGTACTGTAGTCTGACTCCTCACGAGGAGCCCGGAGGAAATGAGATAGGGAATCATTGCCTTTAGCCTCTTGCGAAACATGTCTGTCCCCGCACACTGCCGAACCCCAAAGAGGGCAAATTCTTTTTTTATGTGCCTGCGCAGCTTTGCTTTTACCAGGGGGAGCTTCTGTTTCCACCATGCAAACGAAGCGCTATCTCACGCGCCAGGAACTAAATACACCAACTACGACCCACTGGAACCATGGTTTACAGGGGCTGATAGCACCCCCACAATCTTTGTCTCAAATACCTTTTGCTTGAGTATATTGTATTGTATTGCAGTACAGTTTCAAAGTATCTTTACCCATCCCTGAGAATCAAATGCTTTTCTTGCAGAGGGCAAGACACGTGACGAGTCTCCATCTGCAGTTTGGGAAGAGGTCTGGGTGGAATTCACTACAGGTGCGTGGCTACATTCTATTTATATTCTCTGCTTTTGCACAGCTATTGCTTCAATTGGTTATGCTGAAATTACTGTCTTGTCATGCACATTACAGTAGTCACCACTCAAGTCCATCTTCAGTGAATGTCTGAGCAGTGTGTGTGACACGGGGCTATGAGGCTGCACACGGCTGTGTTAAGGGAGGGGGGGGGGGCTACATTTGATGAGTGACTTTTTTATTTATGTATAGATCTGAACAAAATTTCCACAGTTTGTGTGTTTAGATGTGCAGGTTCTACAAATGTAGTTACTTTTTTGATAGGTCAAGTAGTTTACAAGATACTCCACAACCAATGTAAAACTGGGTCCTAAATTTGTTTGCAGCCTAATTAGCATCTAAGCAGGAAGCACCAAAACATTTGCGACAGTGTAGAAACAATGTAGGATGTTTAAGGAGTGCAATATGCTATAAATCAATTTGCTGGGCCAATTTCAGCTGGAGTTAGAGGACTTCAATGTTCAGAGAAAAACAAGCCATCTTTACCTGTCATGCATGTAACCTAATTAGACATTTTATTGATGTGTATATTGCCTTCAAAATTGGCATATTGCATACTGCATGCGTTTATCTTTCTGGCGAAGAAAGAATTATGCTGATAGCTCAAATAGAACAGAAATTATTTTCCCTCCAACTTGGCAAATGTGCCAAAACTCATGTTCTGAGAAAACGAGAAAAAACATTTCAAAACACCTGTATTGCAAAAATACTAATAAAATATTATGAAATTGCACCAGGGGCATAATCTGGATGCATCCCATCTTTATGCTTCTCTTTGACCAGCTTTCTCAGACTTTGGGACGCTTCTCTCTATTTATTTCAGGTTGCACTCTGACGACAGTTCTTTCTAGCACTCAGGAATGTGCTGCTGAATATCGCGATGTCCAGCTGCTCTTGAATTGCAGCAGATGTATTGACATTGCCCATGTTGAAGCATAGTACAGCTTCTGCAGCAGCAGCTTGCACAGCAAAATGAAGAGCGTGCTGCTCCTTTGATACCAAGCTCCAAATCACGGATCGAAGGCTTTCGTGTGAATTTTGAGTTTTGCCTTGCTGGCGTCTTGCCTTGATGCCACACCGCTTGACTTCGAAAAGCGCTCAATTTTTTGCACTGTTGCGGACAGCGACGAAAGACCCTCCAACGTCATGGTTGTCTCGCCGGCGCGCGCATCGTGAACTTTACTGGCATTGCTCACATCAGCGTCTACCCACACACGGCCGGAGTCGACATAGCGCACGCTGTCGGGGAGGCCCGTGTCTACGTGCACTTCACCATTGCTGATAGCATCGGCGCGGACGGAGCGTCCGCTTTCCAGGAAGCTGTCTCGCACACTCCTTCATTGATAACGTCTTCAGTACACAGGCGGCCAGCGTTCATGCCACGTACGCTTGAGGAACCATCTTCGGTTACAATGGTGTTATCAAGACCGTGTTATCAAACAACGTTGACCCTTGCTTCTGCGACATAGTAGCAGCACGAATGGTCTTTCGGCAAAGTTCTGTTTGGCGTCTCATACCCCTGTTGCCAGAATTTGGGATGGTTGTTGCCAGGCTGCCGCCAATATTGGCAGAGAAATTTTATTCTTGTGGTTGTGGCTTCTGTGTGAGGGTTTGGTGTCGTCCGTGGTGCATTTCGTGAGTGCGAGAACTATGTTGGTTGTTTTAAATAACGGAATCGACGTAAAAGCGCCTTGCAAGAAGTCGGGGTGCATTTTCTTGCTGTGTGCGTTGCTGTGCAATTTAGAGATCGTGTCTCAGAGTTAGGACACGGCTGCTGAATGAGAGAGCGCACAGGTTTGGCTCGCCGCGTGTTCCGAAACCGGCGTGACAGGTCTAGTTCCTGAACCGCCGCTACGACGCCACCAGGGGAGGGGGGGGGGCAGTTTTCGCGAGCGCCCATTGAATCGCATGCGCGGCGTGCTTGCGGTAGTTACGATTGAGCACGTACATCTTTGTGTGACCCGCGAAATCCTTTAATATCCATCTGGTGTGTGCGCACCAGGTAATTACCGACCTTGCTTTTAGATACCTGCAGCCCTTGAAAATTTTGGTATTGTCTTACGCGAGATAGAACCTTGCACACCGATCAGTTTTCGCAAAAATGAGAATTGTGAGCACATTTTACTCAGATCCTACAAGATCACAACTAACAGATCTGGAAGAGCTACACCTTTCTAATGCATCTAAATTAATTATAGTTACTGAGTATGGCGCTTCAGAAAACGTTGCTTCAGATTTAATAAGCTCATTTAGAATATGTAACCTCGGCAACTGTAGTTGCCACTGTTCTTTTAACACAAAATAAGATAGACCACTCACTTCCTTCAAACACGTTTATAGCATTCATACAATGCAGTATCAGATGCAACATCCGCGACATATACTTAGCATGTGTGCATTCTCATAACAGTCGACTCAAACCTCTGAAATTTCAGTGACTCTAGCTTCAATGCTGGCAATTGAGCGAGCAATACTTTTTTGCAGACTAGTTGGTTCATACTTGAAAAATTGAATTGCTGCACAAACTTGAAGAAAAAACAAGAGAGACAGGAAAGAGCGCAGCGTGTCTCTCTTGTTTTTTCTTCAAGTTTGTGCAGCAATTCAATTTTTCAAGTGAGCGAGCAGTTCTCAAGTGAACGATATGAAAACTCAAACTCAAACATCAAATGAATGTTTTCTTCACTCTCTCCACACGCAAGACTATCGTCTTTTGACGACATTTGCAGATTAACATGCAGATACGGGTCCGATTTTTTTATCCAGTGGCCATAGTTAGGGAATTAACAACGCGTCGTTCGTCGTGCATTTCGCGAGTGTGACATGCGCGATGAATTTGTTCGCGAGTGTGTGTGTGACATAATTAACGGAATGAACCACACATTGCAGAAGTCGGGGCACGTTATCTTGCTGTGTGCGTAGCTTTGAAATTAAGAGATCTCGTCTCAGTATTAAGGACGACGAGGAAACTGAATAGAGTCGCAGCAGGCGGTGCGCTGCCCCCCCCCCCCTTCTTTTTTTTTTTTTTTTCACAGCTGATTATGTCGTGCCGATCACACGCCACGGCGGAGACGCTACACTTACCCTAGCTGTGTCAGCACAAGACATATTGTTCGGACTCATGTACATATGAAGAATAAACGTGCCAAGGCTGGATAATTGGGGTACGTCGAATATGCTACATCTGGTCGACGCGGCATGATCAGGTGTAAAAAAAAAGCTCCAGGCCTGCGCGGTAGGTGCAGCACAGTCACAGCGAAAGCTAGAAGAGTGGCCTTTCAGAGCCTTTTCAAAACACTCATTGCGTAACTACTGCAAGCACACATGCTTGGTACCCACTAGGGCATTACTAATAAACTTTTGGGTAGTAGGCCGACATTCGCTATGCTATTTTTCGTCATTCTTCTGAGAAGCATGGTATCTACTAAACACTTGCTAGGAACTTTGTGCCAATTGTCTATGCAGTGGCTGACGACGATGAGGAATTATGGCTGAAGTGGATCTGCGCCACAATTAATAGGGGAACAAGAACAAGCTTATGTAATGGGTTGGAGCATTGGACAGCCGACTCGTTACACCATTCGTATTGTGCGACGACTGGTTCTTCTTTCGCTGTTTTAAAACACTTCATAAGTCGTATTCACGCGATCGCTTTCCCAACATCACGCCTGCGTAAGGCAAATTTGCCTACAAGTCGCAAGCACTGGGAGTAGCTCAGTGGTAGAATACTGGGCTGGCACCCAGTGGACCCGGGTTCGAACCCCACTGTGCCATTGGTGATAGGTCATGCATGCCTAAGGCAAGTTTGACAAGTTACAAGCACTCTCGTAACTCAGTGGTAGAATATTAGGCTGGCACCCAGCGGAACCAGGTTCAAGCGCCACTGTGTCATTGGTGCAAGGTTTTTTTTTTTTTTTCTGATTTCACGCAATGTGGTTACGGACACCGGCGGTGGCAGCAGACAACATGCAACTGCGCGTGACCCGAGTTGTGATCTCATAACAGATCTCGCTGTAAAAAAAAAAAAAGGAGGGGAGGGGTAGTGCACTGCCTGCTGCGACTCTATTCAGTTTTTTCATTCATTTTTTCCATAATAAGACGCGATCTCTTCATTGCACAGCTGCACACACAGCAAGGAAACTCGTCAGACTTCTGCAACGCGCGGTTCATTCGGTTAATTATGTCGCACACACTCACGAACAAATTTATCGCACGGCGACAGCGCGGCAATGAATGCAGGGCGGACAGCGCTTCGTTGTTGTATCAGAAGCCAAACAGAACCTTGCTAGGCTTTCTGCCTTTCTTTCTCTTTCATGAACGGCAAAAATGATGCTGCGATCAAAACTTTTTCGCACCGTTCGGCGTAGCGAGACGCACAAACTCGTTAGAGATACGAGTCACGATACTTTCGCAGGAGCAATACCCTTTCAAAATGGAGGCAGACACTTTAGCAAGTTTTCCTGGCCAATCGGGAAGCGTCATTTTGGTCCTTTGTGTCAAGTAATCAATGGAATCGCACACTGCGTGTAATTTTGACTTCTGTTTTTTGATCGATGAGATGTGATTGATGTGGGTTCCAGATGAAGGTTGCATATTCAGTCTTTGAACGGACAAGTGTAAGGTATGCTAGCTTTTTAGTGGTAAGTTTGCCAAGTACAGGCTTCTTTTAATAAATCCAAGTGTTTTTGACACCTTACTAGTTATTATATTTATGTGCTCATTCCATGATAGATAAGATGATAAATGAATTCCGATGTATTTAAATGTGGATACTTTTTCAACGGGGACGTCATTAATTTTATATTGGTTCAGTTCTGTTTTATGTGCTCTTGTAAATGTCATGGCCTTAGTTTTGGAAGTGTTGATTTGCATTTGCCACTAATGGCACCAAAAGGTGAGTTTATTAAGATCGGACTGTAATGATTCATAAGCTTTGGTGCTGTCAACGTTTCTGTAAATGATGCA